CCTTTTTCTTCAAAAGCGGTTTTTTATTCTTCTTGTTTACAAAAACTGTCATTCAACTATTTTTCAAAATGTCAAAACAAATACAAAGTGATTCTTATTCAAAATAAAACTCAACAACATGGCAATTTCAACTTCAAATTATCTCGAAAACTAATCGTTACAAAAATTTTATTTTAACAGACTTGTAAAGGTATTCGAAAGACCTTTAAAACAAGGTGCCACTCGACCTACTTTCCTTATCTAAATAAGGGACGTCGAACGCACCCCTCCGAGGGGGTGAATTGAGAAGAATACCCCACATGCACTCAGATTGTGTTCTGTAATGTTTGAACAATGTTCCTCATTCCAATTTTAGAATTCACGATTCAGAGTATATGTTTTTGTTCAAGTAACACTTCATTGTGATATTTTCACTGGACAGTTTACAAAAACGCAACACGTCTTTCGCTATATACTCGTAATAGTTTCACCAAGCGTTTTCATACATCCCATCACATATATGTTTTTAGTTAGGGCATGTACACAAAACTGCGATGTGACGTGATGCGAATGCGCAACGCAGAAAGTTGCGACACGAATTGCTGCGATGCAAATTCTTGCTGCAAGTGGCTCCCTATGGTCACCATTCACCATTCCTTCGACGACCGTCAACCGTACTGGACGTATTTCGAAAACTAGGTCGTGTACAGGTACTAGATGTGGGAGGTGACATGGATCGTAAAAAGAAGTGTGCACTTTTGTTATTGCTTAGGAGATACAGGCAAAAGAAACAAAGAAGATTTTGGGTTCATCCCAATCAATTCGTAAGTTCTTGCGATGCGTAGTGCGAGCTCGCAGATTTTTGCGTTGTGACGTCGCACCGCAGTTTTGTGTACAAGCCCTTACACTTCCCACTATTCAGTTCAAGTAAGGTCAGACCTCTACCCTTGTTACTGTTGATCTACTCTCGATACTCGACATGCTTTAATATCACCTGACATAACTTATTTTCAAATCTAAAGAAATGAACTTTAAATGTTCAAACCCGTCTCGATATACCTACACAGTAGGTTGAATGGACTGACGACTATCAGAAAACAACTACTTCACTGGCTAATACCACGAACGGCGTGAATTATATCCGACAGGCGTCAGTGCAGGAATCTTCACAGAAAATTTCCTGCATATGCAATTGGCAATACAACTGAAAGACCAAATTTCAGATATGCAGTTGGTTATTACCTCGTCCACTAAATGGAGTGACATTTTTTATGTTTGCTCCAACCTAAGACGAGGAATGAAATACTCTGAAAGAATTTCGATTTTCAATTATGGAATATCATTTACTTTAGGTCTATGATGGTCACTATCTTGCACTGACGAGTGGCTAAGGAGCCCGAAACCGGTCTGCAAGTGTGCCCGTTCCAAAATTGAGGGTCAACTCTTTCAGTTGTATTGCCAATTGTATATGCAGGAAATTTTCTGTGAAGATTCCTGCACTGACGCCTGTCGGATATAATCCAACGCCGTTCGTGGTATTAGCCAGTGGAGTAGTTGTTTTCTGATAGGCGTCAGTCCATTCAACCTACTGTGTGGGTATATCCAAGATGGGCTTGAACATTTAAAGTTCATTTCTTTAGATTTGCTTACTGCTAGTCTTCAAGCATAGCCCACTGACTAATAAGAAAGTTTTCCACTTATTTTCATTTATCGTTCAAAGTTCATCAGGTCCATGAAACAATGAACCCTTCATATAATTAGTAATTCAAATTTAATGGTTTGAAATCAACTTTAAGTTTTACAACTCACATGATTTCTATTCAGTATTTTTCAATACTCAATTCATTCCTGATAGTTCTAAAGGTTTACCTGATTTCAGAAATTTATACTCACCGTCACATTTATTATTTTAATATGCAATACCATAAGTTGCAATATTCCCAGTCCCAAAATTTTTTCCAAGAGCTTTTGATTCATTGTTAGAAACTTGACGGCGCCATATCCGTAAACACAAGCTTCGGCATCATCTAAGGGACTTGACCTACCCAAAGCATCGAGAAACAATTCTGAAAAATACCAGCTTTTAGTTGAGTTTTCAATTCATTCTTTCAGTGACATACCTAACAGATTTTTCTGGAAGAACAAATTGTCATTTTTGTCATCCTTCGCAACTTTGAAAATTAGCTTGCACACTCCACTTAGGTTATTACCTGTTACTTTTAGCTAAAAAATAACAAACCTTCATTAATAGAAGTGGTCTTTTGAAAGGAAATTTGGAAAATGAATTTTTAATCACCCCGAATGAGAAGGACAATGTTAATGCATAGAAAATTTTGATGGGGATGACAACAAGATTAAAATGTAAAGCGTGTTTTCTACTACGAAATGCAATTTCATCGAAAAATCAATTCATTCACATATTGCGATAGCATGAGCGTAACTGTAGTTGAATAATTATCTCAATTCCCAGTGATCAGACAAAAATTTTGTGAAGAAGAGATTATGAATATTTTGAATGAGTGACTGTTGATGACTGAGTGATGACTTCATTCAATAATGTGAAAATACAACTTAAAAACTTCCGGATTCACTAGTTTACTTCACTTTCTCTTGCTTTTGTCTTACGCTTACACTTATCAATGTTAGGAATAGACTGAACTGAACTGAAACGTTCGTTTCACATAAAAAGATTGGTGTTATCAAAATTTTCTCCACATACATCAGTTCTCAATTACTGACTATTCCTATCCAAATGGAACTTTGTCTTTAAGAAAAATAAATTCAATGAAGTATTAGTATCATTTGTAACTTCCTCCAGTGACATCCATCCATCATTGCATTCTCGACACATGTTAGGCAGATGACTACAGAGTCAGTTTGAAATATTGCTATAATGATATTTCAAATCAAACTCTTCACCTATAGAGTTGAAAGATTAAAAAAATGAAATTTGTTAAATGAAATTACTAAAAACTATTGTTTTTGATAGAAAAATTATTATTTTCTTTGTTTTTGATGATTCAAAAATAATACACGAATAAAAGTTTATGGTATTTTCAAGTACGGTCCTACCCATCGACGAGAACTCTTACACTACTACTTGATAATTCAGGAGAGGTCTACAGAAAGTGATGAACACATGCAAACAGAGACACAGTGGAATGCTACACAGAGATACATGTGCTTCAATCTGAGTTTGCAGCATAGAGTAGCAGGAAGCGAAGCGATATACGTATGTCACTATACAACAGGTTCTTCAGGCGTGTTCAGTACTAACTGAATTGAAAAAAAAATATTATGAAATTTCATCAAGTATTGGTCAGTTTTACTTTTACCGCAAAACTTGCGTACTCTACCAGAAAATTGTTTTTAGATCTTGCAACATTTTTATTGCATTTGATATATACTTACCGATAATATAACTTTCGCAATATTTATCAAAATCTGCTCGTTCTGCGTATCGACGAACGTATACAAGCATTTTAAAATCCTAATCTTTGTTTTCGATGCGACTTTCTGATTGATCATATTCTCCTTTTCTAAGCATTCATACAGTTCACTCAACAGTGTTATTACTCTATGTTCGTCGATTTTTTTTTCATTTTCGGCACTCAAATCTACAAGCACGTCCTCAGCAGTTCTATCTTTCTTGTATTCCACTGAAACTGAATGATGTATCTTGTTTGAATATTTCGATTTGTGCAATTGATTTGTGAAGTAACCTTTATTGAGAAAGAGCGTTTGCGAATTTTCAATTATCTGCTTGTTGTCGAATATTTTCTCGAGGTTTTGAGGTCCCAGCAAGAGGCATTGCGAAAGGTTTTTCTGACGAAGTGATGGTCTTCCGAAGGGCGAAATTGAATCGTTGAAATCAGTGCGTTCTTGAGGAGAACTGAATGCATTCCTCGATTCTATCCTTTGACGTTCTTCTGGATATTCAGCCTCTTCTGGCACTGAAAAACGATATTGGTTTCTCAAGAAGTGAGAACTGTCATGGCTGAAGATAACCGTATCAAAGCTATTTCCTCTACGACTACGGTATACATTATCAAGGGCTATACGGTTTCAGACTAAGTGTTTTACTTGTCCTCAAAACCTGATTCTTGCACAATCAAGTCTAGGTCTAAACTTCATCGATGTTACTTACCTCTTCCTTTTTATGGAAATTGTTTTACTGAATTTCTATCGTTTCCTTATATAGTCCTAGACAGTTGCTCTGAGTTCTAATGATTACTTCGTTCGTTTCAAATGCGATCACGTGGCTCCCCTTTCTTAGTGCTTTTTTCAATACTGCTGATTTGTCAGAATGTTCTTGGCGTCTATTTCTCTTGTGTTGAGAGAACTAGCTACCGAGAGAAAGAGCCCACGAAATCGCATTTTAAAGGACCCAAGTACCTACTCTACAAAACTGAGACACATTCAAAAAGAGAGGAAAAGTGAATTAAAATCAGTAAAGTCATCAGAACAGTGTACCGGAGACCCAAACTATAAATGTACTATCTGCCTCGAAAACAGCTCTCACTTGTCCATCGAAGGATTGAAGTTTGTGAAAAAAATGACATAGTACTGCCACCATACTTTGAAAAATTCATCAACAATGCAATGGATCAGCAAGGTGAATCATCGAGAAAACCAAAAGACGATATATGAAATACAAAAAATATTGCAAAGGCTCTCTTTGTCCATTCAATTGGGACAATGATTTTATACCACTGTCCATCACAGATATAGGCCTCTACTGACGCTTTCCCATGATAATACCGCAGATACTACCAGGTTAAATTTGCCATACAAAGCTACCAGGTTAAATTTGCCATAATTGTGAATTCGTATATTCACTAAATTTTAAAGTGTCTGAATATAATTTCTTTAGGTGGGGTATCTTTCATTTACAAGCATTTCGGACTGATGGACTTAAATTTTTGTTATTTAGGATACCAGATGGAAGTTATTCATTTGGAGCAAATTTATTTTTTCTTACGAATAAAACACTTTTTATCTCTTCTTGAATTCAATAAGTTACGTATATTATTCCACTTTGAATGAAATTATTCATAAGAATGTTTGTTTATACCTCTCAATTAACTATATGACTACCTGCCCCAGATACTGCGACAACCATCTCCGGCATGGGGTTGAAAGTCACACTTTTTCTTTTCCATAAGAATTGTTATATTTCCTCGATGGATGTAGTTGGAGAAAAAAAATTCTTTGCAAAAGAGTATAAAAATACTATCTATTGATAAGAATATTATTGATTATTAATAAAAAGGACACTAAAAATGCAAAAGACAAAAAATTTGACTTCCACCCCCGGTCTGCCCTACAGACAAATGGGTTGTACCACAATCTGTGAAACCGTATCACTGGATTGCCGTTAAAAGCCATGGCTTTTAGGCCCGATAGACTGAAACAGCCCGATAGGCTGTCAGTACCGGGCAGGCGGTCTTCGATTGAAGACAAAATGTGAATTGCCAAGAGAAATATTTAATAAAAATAACTGCTTGAACGCAAACGAGACATAAGTGGAACTTATGTCTCGCAATACGACCCGAAAATCAACGTAAAATCATGTCAAGTCAACAAAAACTGTAGTGTGGTTGAGCTGATTGCAATAATCATTTTCTATACTAATAATCGATGTATTTTTTATTAAACACATATTAATAAACGTCACATAAACATTAGAACTGTCAGTTGAAAACTAAAGTTGTAAACAAGTAGAGTCGCTATATGAACATGAATAATGTAGTATCATGTCCCATGTTTACAATGTTAGTTTTTCATCTGACAGTTCGGATGTTCTGTGATGTTGATTATAACAATAAACAAACACATCGACTATCAGTAATAAAAGTGATTATTGCAATCAACTCAACCATACCACATTTTATGGCGACGAGGATAAACCAGTGAGAGTTTAGAAAGATAAACATATCAAACAGTACGACAAAAACATTCAACACAAGCAGCCAACAAGCTGAACCAACCAAATAATTTGAACTGTGTCATTCGTATTCAAGGGAACAATGTCAACTGATATTCTGTCTCAAAGGGTAGCATTTGCGCTCCGTTATCGAAAGGACAGTGAAACCATTACGCAGTTTATGAACATTCTCCGTGGACTGGCAAGAAATTGTGAATTTTCCGATAGTTTGAAGCAAAGTCTTCGAGATCAACTACTTATTGGTATCAACAACATGGCCTGGCAACAGGAATTAATTAGGTTACATCTAAATAATACAGCCTCCCTGAAAAAAATTGAAGCAACAGCATTTATTTTGGAACAGGCTTCGTTACAGTCGAACACTCTGATATTAAACATGGAAAAAGACTGTTTATCCTGTGGAAAATTACGCCACAGAAGAAGTGACTCATGTCCTGCTAAAAATAAAAAATTCTCAGCATGTGGAGCATTGAATTATTTCTCAAAAGTTTGCATAACAACGGGACACGCTCGAATACAAAACCAGAAAAAGAATACACGACATGTAGGTACATGTCACTGAAACGAAGGACGGCAATGAAAGTAGTGATGGGCAACACCCATAGTTTTGGCAATCGAATCGAATAGAAGCATTCGCATTTGTGGGAATTTTTCAGTAACAATAAATCCTCATGTGAGAAAAAATGATTACCCTCTTCCGCGTTTCGAAGATATAATGTCAAAATTCAGCGGAGGCCGATACTTTTCCAAAATCTATCTGAAGGATGCATATCTTCAGTTGCAAGTTCATACTGATTCAAGGAAATATTTAGTTATATCAACAATCCAAGGTTATTATGGCTATAAAAGACTTCCTTTTGGGGTAAATTTCGCACTATCCTCATCTCAAAACTTAATGGATCAATCTCTAGCAGATATTGATGGAACAGTATGATATTTGGATGATATTTTGATAACTGCAACAAATAAGTATTTATATATGATACGACTGAGACAAGTTTCAGAAAGATTACGGTTAGCAGGAGTTAAAACACAACAATCGAAGTATAGATGGTTACAAAGCTGTGTGACATTTTTGGGTCACAAAATTGATGCAGAAGGATTACATCCTACATCAGAACGCATTGAAGCTGTAAGTGATATGCCAACTCCTACAAATGTAAGTGAACTGAGATCTTTCTTGGGATCAATAACTTATTATGGACGTTTCATACCAAATCGACATGTTATTTGCGTTCCATTATACAGACACCTGAAAAACAACCCAACATTCAAGTGGACACTTTATGATGAAAAATTATCCCCTGAATTGAAAAATGTCCTTAGTTCATCAGCTCCGGTACATTTCAATCATGAATTGACAGTAGTAGTTACAAGTGATGCGAGTTCGAAGGGTATTGGGTCAGTTTTTTTCCACGAATCATCAACAATTAACGTGCTTCGTGAAGTGTTTTCGAGATTAGGTTATCCGAAAATAAGTGTGTCGGATAATGATCCTCAGTTAACCGCTGAAGAATTTGGATTATTGTGTAAGTCTTATGGTATCACACATATTCGATCAACACCGTATCACCCCAAGACAAATGGACTTGCGGAAAGAACAGTGAAGACTTTCAAAGATCGCATGTCAACTAGTGGATAAGAGAAAAGTCAAGATGAACGTTTACAAAGTCTTTTGTTGACTTATCGTAATATCTTAGTTCTACCTGTCGTTCGACAGGCAGGGCTCTAAGCGAATTGATATTTGGACAACATTTATGTACTATGTTCGACCAATTGAAACGTGACTTATATTCAGAAACATGGATGAGACAGAACTTGATCCGAAACGAATTCGTGATCATGGTTCGAAGGACTCGATATTTCATCCTAATCAGACGGTCTGGGTGAATAATCCACTAGGTAAAGGATCCACACCAGGAACAGTAATGGATCAAACTGAACCGTATTCATATATCGTTGAGGTGAATGGAACACCAAAGAGGAAGCATGGAGATCAGTTAAGACCTCGTTTGAACCAACCTAACCAAGTGGAACAAAAACAGGAACATGCCAAGGATTCTGAGAAAACTTTAATGACATGTGTTTCTAATGCATTGCAAGATGAAGATTCCACCAAAAAAGCATGACACAACCTGTGAACGTGAACATAAAGATACAAGCCAATGACAACATCATTCAAGAAGAACAGGCGATCTTTCCGGAGCCTAGAATAAACCTGTTACGGAACCAAAGACTGCCTGCTCGTAATCGTGACTGAGTATAACATTCCTTCCTCGTTAATCGTGTTAATCGAAGGTTTTCACGGACAGGAATATGTTGAAATTATTCTTCGGGTTTGTTCCGTGTGGAACCTTTAAGGGGAGATGAGGTCATATCGAGAAGAAAAAGAAGAACTGAGGTACCAAAACATTCAGGTACCAAATTCAGGTAATCAAGATCGGTATATATGTAATAACATAATTGACCAGCACAGTAAGAAGTCATCCGAGTAGGGTCAGAGGACTTTCGAACACTTTACAAATAATCGCCAGATGATGACAAATGTGATTTTCTCGAAACGTTGCGAAATTCATTCTCATCGGGGATGACAATACACCACACGGAACAAACCCGAAGAATAATTTCAACATATTCCTGTCCGTGAAAACGTTCGATTAACATTTCAAACCTTTACGGGGAGATGAGGTCATATCAAGAAGAAGAAGAACTGAGGTACCAAAACATTCAGGTACCAAATTCAGGTAATTAAGATCGGTATATATGTAATAACATAATTGACCAGCACAGTAAGAAGTCATCCGAGTATGAAATTATTTATTATACACGGACAGTGTGATCAAATCATTGCAAGAACTTGTATAAAATTCAACCAAATGTATCCTGAATTAACAACAATGAACGAGAGGAAGTTTGTAAGATTACAAAATCATTTCCTTAACTATGGCTCCATGTTAAAAGCGCCTTCAACATTACCAAAATCGTTACTTCAAATGAGGACAATAC